TTGGGCATATATTTTCATTACAGCGTGTCTTATTGGGACTATGGCTTGGATAAAGGCTTAGACATATTGAAAAGTAGCTCCATTGAAAAAGTTTTTCAATGTATTTTTCAACGTATTTCACTATCTAAAATTATATCTACACCAATTAACCAATTTTTAGTATTCTTAGCCATGGAACCTCTTCAGAAAGTTCCTGATTAAAATATACAAACTACATTTGCACTGCATGATTAATCTTTGTTTCTCAGCTGATTAAGCAATCTACTTTTCTGGGTTCAATATTCACGCACTAAATCATACACAGGCTACATTTGTGCAACACGAGGCTAAAATATGATTAATGGATTTGCATTGTAAAGACAAAGTGATGTAGTAGCTTTTGAACTGGATTACCAATAAATCCTCTGCCTGAGAGTAATGCTGTTTCTGGTTATATTATTTGTTTGATTGTTTTAATATATACATTAGAGAGAAGCAAAAAAGAAAAAAGAGATGGAATGCACATGCAAACAGACAAAAAAGGGGGGGGGAACAAAAAGTTATATTACACACAAGAAATCATTTAGACTAGTTTTTTAACATTAGACCTCGGCTGTACAGAATAATGTTCAATCTTCTACTGAGGAGGGGAAAATGTTACCCAGTTTCCCTAAAAATAAGACCTCCCTGAATAATAAGCCCAATTGGGCTTTTGAGTGCATGCGCTAAAATAAGCCATCCCCCAAAAATAAGCCCTCCTCAAAAATATTGCAACACAGCAGCAGCCATGAGTTGACCACGCTTGCTCCCTCCTGCAAAAATAATACCTCTCCAAAAATAAAGCCAAGTGCTTATTTTTGAGGTAAAAAGAAAGTAAGACCCTGGCTTATTTCGGGGAAACATGGTAGATTACTTTCATAAGAAAGATAACCTTTATTCAAGAGGTATTCATCCAGTTGAATATTAGCTAAAAAGTATTGAACCAGACCGCAAAAGAATTGGTGAGATCATCTCACTGGATTCCTTTAAGTGGAAGATGGACAATCTATTAAGAATGCTTCAATCTGGATTTTTCTCCCAAAATCAGTTGCAAAATTTCCTGTAGGTTTGGAGTGCAAAACATGATAAAGCTTATTATAATCACCAGAGTAAGTGTCATGTTAAAAAAAACCTGCCCTAAAATACATGATGCAGCTCTAGCCACTCTGGGTTCTTCCTTAACTAAAACTGCATGCAAGCCACATCTACCCCAAAATTGCCTTTGAAAAATAACTCACTCTTCTCCAGATGCTTTCCATGATCTCTTCCCATTGCACATGTGAGATAATCAAAACTGAAGTCCAAGATATCTAACGATGTTGTTCCTAAGCAATCAACATAACTGAAAATATTCACAGGTTGGAAATAGAGAGAAGCTTTCACGTCAAAGAGGAATAGTATTCTTTCTCCCGCATTCCTCCCAAATAACCAAAACTATAAGAAACTCAATAATGGTCTCAACTTACAGTCTAAGATTTACTGGTGATAAGAACTATATATTGCTATGATCAACACAATTTATAATTCACTCCAATCTTGGTAGATTTAGAATGGTGAAGAAATTATGATGAACAACAAAGAAAATGAAAATTACTTAACAAAACACATAATGCTAACAAAATCCTATGCTGACTCCCAAAATCTTCTTGGAATAAATGATTAATTTAAAAAGACCAATTTAAATTACTTGCAAGATTCAAAAAGGATTTTATGTGCAAACTGCTAAAGGGGAATAAGTTTTAAAGAGTTTACTTATCAAATTTACAATATATCCCACTTATTTATTTATTAGATTTTTATCCCATTGTTATTACTTTATAATAACAAGGTAGAAAACACAAATAATGCTCCTTCCGCCTCCTATTTTTCCAACAACAACTCTTTTAGGAGAGTTGGGCTAAAAGAGAAAGTTAGGCTAAGAGAGAGTTGGCTTCCATGTCAAAAATGAGACTAGTACTCAGTTTCCTGATATCTAGCTTGTGCCTTAACCACTAGTCCACATTGGTATACTCTTTTCTTCCATTTTTCTCTATAACAACCCTGGGAAGTAGGTTGGGCAGAGAAAAAGTGACTGGACCAAAATCCCTCATTGATCTTCTGTGGATTAAGACTTGGTTTACCACAATCCTACTCTAACATTTTAATTAATGCATCACATTGACTCTCAGTTTACAATGTTTATGTTGCTAAAACACTTTACCAGAAGTAAGACAGATTTATTAGCTGATTTGATAAAATTTCAAGGTTTGCAGGAGAACAAAGAAAATCTATAGGGAAAACAACCAACAACATACTGGTGTCACGTTATGACAATTTGCCTTTTACGGTTGTAAGTTGTGATGATCATAAATCTACTCATCCATGTGACCAACCTGATTTTATGACCATTTTTGCAGTGATCATTAAACACAGTGGTTAGAAAGCAAACAAGACAATCATTAACTGAATCAATAGTTTGCTATGGGCTCGTTTAGCTGAAAACGGAAACAAAATGCTGGTTTTCAGTGAAATTGTGGTAAAACATGGTCATGTGACCACGGAATATTGTAAATAGCTTTAAATGGAGGTCGGATGCTGAGTGTCTGATGTGTGGTCACATGACTTGGGGGGGGAAGAGACTTTGAATCTGGGTTCTAAATAATCCCAGAGAAGTCCATCATAACTTTTAATAGTCACTAATAAGAACAAAGATTGCTCAACAACTATGGAATTCTGACTGGCTGTTAAACAGGGAGTGAAATGGAATTTTAAAAAGAGGATCATTGAATGGAAATAGTTTACTGTATAATATTTTACTCAACACAGTTAAATACCTTGACAGAAACAACATAACACCTATGATCAAGCTATGCCAACTTAACTCTTATTTCGTCAATTCACCTCATATAATTGTTATCTGAAAGTAGAACTGTTCAAGTTTGTATCAAATTTTAAAATCAATCTTTTTGATTTTAAACATATCCTTTTTACACAAAAATGACATTTTTAATAACGATTAAAAAATAAAGGAAGAAGCCATGTCAGATTTATGTTACATTTCAAGACTGCGTTACATAGCTTTCAGAAAATACAAAGAATTTATACTTATTTATTACTATTTAAAGTGATCTAGCTATAAAAGTATTTGAAAATGGAAATGTCAATATTTGAGTATATGATAGAAAAGAAACTGAAATATTTAAACATGAACATTCATGGTGAAGACATTTATCTCAGGACAAAATTCATACTGTCTTCTGGATAAAATCCTTTCTGCTCTCATTGTTAGTAAAATTTATACATATTAATTAAAAAACTGCCTGCTCAAGTAGATGCCATTTTCATGACTTTTAATAAAACAAGTTAATGCATTTTTCAAGCATGATGTCTCATCACAAGAAACGTATTACATCCATCTGTAAGGCAATCTAATTTGAATTAACATGGAATCACCCAGCAGAAATTTGAAGCTTTGCGAACTAAAAATAATCCAACCAGCAGTATTTTCAGCCCTATTGCTACTATCCTATTTTTAAAAACAAAGAAACCTTGCTTGAAATGTCCAATTACACAACTTCTGTTTGCTGCAACTCCCAATTAAGCTTTCAAACACATTTTTGAAATAAATTCTAAAGGCTCATTTTGCCTGGAAACAGAGTAGGGAGGAACAGAACAAAACAAAAATTGATTAGATCTTTGTTTTTGTTGCTGTTAAATGGATTTTTCCCTCTCCTTCAACTAAAGAGGATACTGGGAAATATACAGAAGGCCTTTTCAAGAGGGCACATACACTCATTTATTTGGTCTTTACCAAACTTTCTTTGGTAAGAAACAAACATGTCTGTTCTCAATCTGATGCCCTGTAGATAGGATGGAACTATTACTGCCTTTGTTAACCTCCAGCCATTCTAGCTAGGAAAATAAATGGAGCTGTAGTGCAATCGTTCTGGAGGGTAGCAAGGAAATGCTAGAAGGTGATCATAGGAGAGCAAGCACAGCATGCCTGAAATGTACCATATTGGGAAGACTAGAATAGGAAATTATTCTTCAGTCAGTAGGCATTGAGGTCAACCAGCAGACCATCTGGTGAAATATATAATTAATTAACATATGGTTATTTTTCTCTTTCGCCTAAGAAAATTAAGCGTTAATCCTTTACTTATGCTTTACTCTTTTGTGTAAGACAGGGAAGTAAGATAGTAGTTTTACTTCTCAAAAATGGTCAGCACTCCGAATTCAGACTACACCTGCCAGAATTTCACATTCACTACATGTTGATATACATTTACGTATTTCTAGTGACAGAGACATTTAGAAAGTTTAGGATATTTTCCCCCTCCCTAAAGGTGGATTGATTGTGTTGTTGATTAAATTGCTGTCAACTATTAGTGACCAGGTAGATTTTTCTTCCAGATGATCTGTCCCTCGAAAGGTTACTCAAGCCACTCTATCCAAGTTATCCATGCTACCCAAGATAATCAAAGTACTCTTTATTTATCAAGCTTTCAGCAGTACCAAGCAATAGTATAGTAGTAGCAGCGTAATTTATTTGCCCAGCTAAACAGACACCCATTTATACCCTTCTTCAGGCTAAGTATTTTAAAAGGGACATTTTTCATTCAAAACCCACCTGTCATTTGGTTCCCCCCACCATCTCCTCCCACATTCAGTGATTTAACTTAATTAACATAACTTAATTAACAGGTTTTTTTAAAAAAAAATTACGTGACCCCGTTTTCCCCAGAAAAGGACACACAATCCCCGGGTCTGAAATATGCAGAAGCCATAACTGGCATCGGAAACATCCAGCCTTGTGCAATTGCTTGCTTTCTTTCCCACCCGAAGGCATCCTCGCCTGGAACCGAGTCAAAGCTCGGGCAGCTCCTCTCCTCTTTCGCTACCCTGACAAACATCCACGAAGGGCGGGCGGAAGAGCGAGCCCAAGGAAGCGCCCTTCGGCCGACCGACGGAGGCCACTAATCGCGCCACGGGGTTCCAATTACCTGCGCGGCCATGAAGGAGAGGTCCATGGTGCTGTGGGAGTCAGAGCTGCTGCTGCTGCTACTGGTGGTGGTCGAGATGAGGGTAAAGGTGGCAGCGAGGCCGCTATCGCCGCCGCCCGGCCCGGACGCCTCTCTGGATTGCTGGGGAGCGGCCTCCCGCAGGACCAACTTGGGGCGCGTTACCAATTCCAGCTCACTGGGATGGCGGCGGCAGTGCCGTCGCGACTGCCCGGCTGCAATCAGCTTTCTGGGAACATGTTCCGTCGGCAAGCTGGCCAGGCGACGGCACCAGCGCCCGCAGGACCGACGCCAAGGCTCCAGTCTCGGCGAGGGGAAAAAGCCGCGCGTGGAGTCCTGCCTGTCTGTCCGCGCGCCCCGAGTTGGTCACGCCCCTCCCCGTGGAGGCTCAGAGTGCGGAAGAGCCAAGAGAAGCCGGCGAGCGGCCGCTCCTTCCAGGGATGCTGCGAGGAAGAGAAGGGGGGGGGGCTTCTTCCCACCACCTACTGACTGATGCAGTCGTGAGTGTCCCCCGCCCCCGGAAGCAGGCTTCCTTTCTGGCAGCAGACGGCTCGTCTGGGACGCCCGCGTCAAATTATCTATGGTCGTCGGATACAAGAGCATGTTTGTTTTGATCTGATAAGCGGTTTAGTCAACTGAAAGGCAGGCATATTACCTTCCACAGGTGTCAGCCGCTGCTACTTGTTCGAGCGGGTAGCATCTTTACTGGGAATAAAGTTCACACTTAGGGAACCCTACCAGGCTCAGCCTGGTATGGGAAGAAGAGTACGTTTTCTTCTGGTTGAGCAAATTTGACAGATTTAATCCAAATGAAGAGGTCAAGAAGGCTTTTGATATACTGAACTGGAACGAATGATTTTAGGAAACTTAGGCTTCCAATTGAGGAATGAGGTACCCAGTTCTACACTAGAAAGAAATAGCAGTTGTGGTCATTAACCAGCATAAGGGAATTGATATTCAGATGTCCAAAACCAAATTGACAATATCAAGATAATTAGGAAAGAATACCAACAAAGAATTTTGGCTAAAATACAATATACATTCAAGGAAAATATGCTATGGGATGTGCTTAGGCTACAAAAGGGAGCAAAGGAGAAAATATATGAACGTTAGCAATCCAGCTAATATAAACATTGAAATAGCAATAGAAAATACAAATATATTGTAGATAAAACAATAAAATTACCCCAAATGATCTTACAGATCCCTGTCAAATCTGAAAAAAATATAGTATAATAATGGATGGCATGTACACACCAAAGCATAAAGTTAAAAAATAGCCAATGCTCCAATTCTGACCCTGAGCTGTTTCTGATTATCTAGACTCAATTAGGCTCAATTGTTCCTAATTATTCTTTGCCTGATTTTGCATCTGCCATGCAGAATCTGTCTACTTCGTGTGTCATTTCAGGGTTGATGTTGGATAGCAGAAGTTGTTTACAGTGTTGATTGTTGTATCCTGTTTTGCTGGTCAGCATTTTGGGCATCTCAAGATTTAACGTAAAATTGACAATACAGAACCATCATACAGATGTTTGATGGTTTCTACCTGTCCTGAATCACAAGAACATACACATAATGAATATAGCATCTTTTTGTATCTTCCAGCCAGACATCCTGAATGAAGAGTGTTTCCAAAGTACCAGAAGGCACAACAAGAAGCAAAGGATGGAATCTAATCAAGGAGAGAAGCAACTTAGAACTAAGGGGAAATTTCCTGACAGTGAGAACAATTAGCCAGTCTGTAAATATTTTCACGGCCCTCTTTTTGACTCTTGCAGTGTACAGGTCCACAATGGAAAGCAGGTTGGCAGCAATTGTTTTTTCTGCAGTTCTGATTATCCTCTGAAGTCTGTGTCTGACAGTTATAGAGGTGCAGATGACAGACTCAAAGTGCCTTCCAACTCTGTTATGCTGTTATATCTTAGTCTGATTTCATTTTTGTAATGTAGCTCTTGAGGTTTAATGTTCCCTCTCTTCTAGATCATCTATAAGCAGCTTCTGAGTGTTTGGTGACCCCTTTCTCATTTTATGATTAGCTTCAATAATAGCAGTAGACTTATATACCGCTTCATAGGGCTTTCAGCCCTCTCTAAGCGGTTTACAGAGAGTCAGCA